GGGTGGTCCAAGGGTACTTGGCCCTTTTCTGTGAAATTTTGTACTGAATTCTGAGTAAACAAAATAGCATCTAAGTAGCTAGTAAGTTTCCCCCCTGTTTCTGAATTGCCAGGTACTTTCCCTGATGATGTCAAACTTGCTCCTTTTCAAAGGATAAAATATATGAAAACAAAAACCGTGTGTATACTTGGACCCCTTTTTAATCATGGTAACCAAGTTAGCCTGTACACAGACGTTTTATTTTTCTTTTCGATAAATCGGCGAGCGTGAGCATGCGAGAGCAAGTGCTAGCGGTCAACAAATCCCCTGCTTCTTTTATTTTTATCACCTGCGCTCGATGGAGTTCTGTGAACAGGCTAATATATAACCAAGTCAGTGTGCGTTTCTCTGGGAAATTTTCCAGCGCAGTAACCAAGATTCAGAAACCTAGCCAGTGCTGACATTCAATTTTTGTTTGTTTGTTTGTTTGTTTGCTTGTTGTTCCTGATATAAATATCTTTCAAATAACAACATTTTGCAGTTTGGTGGCCAGCGATAATTATTTCATTATTTCAGTGTGTTAAAAGTAGTCATGCACCAATGGCATTAAATCACTCTAATTGAAGCAGTGTTTACCTGATTGTATAAGGAGAAAGCAATATCCAGCTTGCTCTGTCTGTAAAACACATTAGCCATGTGAAAATAACCACCAGATGTTCTGATGTCATCTGTGCCATGAACCCTTGATGAGTGGTAAATCTAATGTGTAAAGAGTTCAAAAGTCAATTCATTGCACTGACTACAGTCGACTCTCTCTTGAAGGACACCTCTAGTCTATAAGACGGACACCTCTGTAAATCAGACACCTAGGGTTGGCAACTGGCTTTCTTTATAATTACTCCCTTTAATTGACTGTCGATCTGTAAGACATACACCACTTTAAAACAAACACCTAGAGTTGGCCCCTGGCTTTCTTTACTCCCTTTATTTGACTCTCTGTCAGACAGACAACTCTGTTAAACAGACATCTAGAGTTGCCCCCACCCCTTTTATTTGACTCTCTGTAAGATGGAAATCTCTGTAAGATGGACATCTCTGTAAGATGGACACTTAGTGTTGGACCCAAAGATGACCACCTTAGAGAACATTGAAAGTCCTACTAAGAACAAAACTTATAAGGTATAAAGGCAATTCTGTCTATAAATATGGGGGAAGGCAGGGGGTAGGAGCATGGGCAAACAGGGGGGAGAGAGGTACAGGAGGAAGGAGAGGAAAGACCTGGAGGTGGGAGTTCTAAAAGGGTGGGAAGTGGGAGAAATAGAGGGAAATTACACACCAATGCTTAATATTTTGCAATCAAAAAAAGGCTGAAAGGAAGGAAGCCAAAAACAGGGGTCCAAAGCAAGGTTTGAAAGGTGGAAGGTTTTCATATTAAATTGCAGCTATCTGTGTAATTTTATAGATGAGTGACAATAAAATCCCAAGAATATCAAAAGGCAAATGTCAAATGTCTTTTCAGAATTGATTTACTTAAAAAAAATAGGGACTTGCATCATCTGCTAGTTGTGAAAGAGCATCAGGGTAGTTTCCCTGTGCAGCATACAGGAGTCCCAAGTTTCTGAAAAGCTTTGATTTAATGTCATCAGTGCATTCTGGAGTCTTAAGAACTGTCCACTGGGCCTGAGCTAAATATTCCTCAGCTTGAGATAAGCGACCAAGGCCTGAAGAAAGAAAGAAACAGGTCCATGTAAAGACAATCAAGAGCTGACAATAATCAGTCTTAATTTAAGAGACCATGAATGTACTTCATTTTAGAAAAAATGGCTATGGATGATGTTCTAGTCTCCCCCGGAGAGATACCCAGGGAGGGCAGGGGTTACCTAGTACATAGGGAGCCCTTGAGAACTAACTCGTCAAACTCACAGGATACCCATCATAAAAGTTTCGTACAAAAATATAATTATAATTGTTGCTGTAAGGCCCAGTGGTAATACCTAAAGCACAGCCCAAACTAAGATGCCAGTATGTTATTATTTATGTAACCATTATGTTCCAGGAAGGAGACTTTGCTTGTCAAAATGCAAGCATATCCTTACTTGTAGAGCTGACTATTATCAAAAACAATTTCACTCCCAGAGTCAAAATTTTAAAAAATGCCACCATCAAATTGTAAAACATGTATCTGCCAAAAAGGCTTTCTTTCCATAGAATTCTATCCACAAACTTAAAAAACTGAGAAAAAAGTTAAATTTCTGTCTAAACATGGTGTTCATTAGGCATCGGACATATAGGAGCATTCTCCGTTTGCTACGCATAATTCTCTGGCAAATGTTTGCTAGCCTGTGACTATTTTATATTCATACGTGGAGCCTCTTTCAAAATATTCTCCTGTAACGTTATACTACCAGAATTCTTTCATAAAAACCCTGCTAAATTTGGCTCTGAGAATCACTTCATTATACTGACCTATACTGGCTTCTCCAAGAATAAGATAGGATGGGACAAGCTCAATACTGCTCAGACCATAAACTTCAATGGAGAACTTGAGAGACTCCAGAGCTGCAGGAACCACTCTGTCATATCTTCCTTCAAACAACAGCTTCTGTCCCTCTGTTCGACATAGCTCAATCATTTGCTTCTGTAATATTAGATATGAGATAAAGAAAAAGTGAATTAGTTTGTACAGTTATTATTTATACTGCAAGTTATCTTTTTCCTGGCCAAAAAGGAAGTGCCCCGTGTGAAATCTTTCTCCAAAATATATCCTTTCCTCATATCTGCATAGTAGTGTAGCCACATCAAGACAATAAGCTGGCTAGCCTAGGAAAACAGAACATTTTCCAAGTAGAGTACGTGGGGAGAGGGAGGGAACTAGTGACTTGAAGTGGGGAGACTGGCTCTCCTCTTAGTAGGTCCTTCTTCGGTTTTCCTTTTGCTTTCTTTTTCAGAAAAAGTGAATTGTGGTTGATATACTAGCATCGACTGCATGGCTAAGTCCAGTTTGAGAGACAGCTCCAAACCAGTTGACCATAATGTTATTATAGAAACTCTTACAAAAAATATGTATTAAACATATTGAATTTTAAATAAAATTGTTGACAAACTAGGATGCCCTTTTAACAATTACACACCTGTCTCACTATCTGCTGTTGTTTTCTGTGTTGCCTTTCCTCTTCAGAGCCAAGAAATGGAATTGGAGTCCGTAATGCAATTAGTAATTGACAAATTTTCTCATGGATTCCCAGCCAGTCAGCTTTCTGATGCTCTGTAGAGCTGAAATGAACATCATTTTGAAATTTGAATTTCATCACGGATTTTGGCTTTTATCTCAACGTTGGAAGGGGTATTTTTTAGAACACCGAACGCCAAATGTAAAACACGGAATGACTCTGAGTTTAGTGATTAGGGTTAGGAAACTGAGTGAATCAGGTTCCATTTCGGGTCCTTATACTGGGAAAAGTGACCTGAAACTTGATTTACTCAGTTTACTAACCCTAATCACTAAACTTCCGAGTCCTTCGGCGTTCTGCAAAATACCCCCGCAGCATCAAAGGGAGCCAAGGAAAAAATATATAATCTTTTGAAAACGAAAAACATTTAAAAAGAAATGTGAAAATCTATAAGGTTAATTTATTTTCAAGGCTAAACTTCAGAATACCCGGCCACTGAAATATTCCCCAACAGTAGCTGGCAGCAATACATTTACACAACAATTTGCTTATCACTGACTACGGACTGCGGAGCCTGTCCTGTTCAGTTTCTCGTTCTCAATATATAAAGTCACACTACACCTCTACTGGATTGAAAGAGTTCCTGGTGTTGAAATGAAAATGTATAATCTGACAAGTAAGGCTTCTGAAAGTCTACTCACTGTAGTTTGCACTCACCAATAATATGTAACTCGACATTCTGTACATTGGAGAAAAGCCGGTTTTTGGCACAATTCACATAAAAGCTTGACACCTTTAGGATTAGCTAAAGGATTTATAGTATTCATTTCATGAACAAGTGAAGAACCAGGGCCTAATTCAACTGTTGAAACCTCAAAGTCATCTTCTCAGTATGACCGCCATATTGTTTCCAGGCGCGAAGGTGTTGTTGCTAGGCAACTATCTGTCTCGGCACCAGACTTCCCACCATTTTGGTATGACTTTTCTTCGCGGGTTTTGTCACTGCATGCTACGAATTTTCGCGGATTTTCGAGTTTGCAAGTCAAAGTGAAGTCCGTCAAAGTGAAATAAATTGTGAAATTATTGTTATCGTAATTATAATCTCCTCGTGGAAGTTTAATAATGGGACCTACCTTTCGGTTAGACAGGATGATTGTCTACGGAAAATCCGCGGAATACGCAGAAATTAGTTCATCTTTAATTCCGCCTTCGCGTGGTAAAGGAAAGCGTAGTACTTTTAACCTACATGAACCTCCATACAATCCCATTCTTGTTTTAATAAAGTGTAGCCGTATGGATCATTTTTCGGAACGCCTGCCTGCTTCTGTGAAGACAAGTAAATTGCTCTGAACCTGAGCGCTGGACTTCTAATAATTTCTCACTTTCCTCAGGGACTGAATACCTACCGAAATTTTTTTCCTCTTTAGGGGTGACGACATTGAACGGTGAAGCACTTCAGCACTTCAGCACTTCGCTCTTTACACTTCTTGCCGCTAGCGATCGAGAAGACTTCTGGCATCCAGGGTACAGCATAGTTCCATTTAAATTTACCGAGCCTTCGCTCATATGCGATATGTGGGTAGACAAAGTTGTGCATACCCATATTCATCATACAGGGACAACAAGGCACGTGAAAGACGCAGAGCGCATGAAAATCGTCACCCAAGAACTTTGCGGGTAACAATTTTCACGCGAAACTAGCCCTGGGAAAAATATGGGCCTACAAATAGTCTATCGATCCCTCTATTCGAACCCGAGGGCGGACGAGGTTAAATTAGCGTCATTTATAGGGAAAAGCATATCATCGGTGGAATGAAAAACACCAAAGAGTAATTATAAATCAGTGTTTATTCATTTGGTAATTTTTGCAAATTTTGCAATAAAGAAACCAATAGTATCTAAGTTAGGTGTAAATATTTCTCCGTCGAGTTTGCAAGGATCAAATCGCTGCACTAACAACCTTTCATCATCTGAAAGACCAAAGTTAGCAAGACCTGGTCCTCCGAAATGAGGGGTCTGTGGAGAGAAACATGATCAAATAAGCAATGGGCATTTACATAAACCTGGCGTTTGAGAGCGCGGGTTGGAAATCAGAGAAAAAGTCGCAGTTTTAGTTGTTTATTCACACCAAGAGAGATATACTTAACACAATAATTAAATTAATCACTGACTGGGAAACAGCAACATCAGAATAAAATAACAAATAAGAGAAGAAAAGATAAAAGTGAACGGCTTTGAGAAAAGTGTAGGGTGGTTAGGGAAGCATAGTTTTCGAGCTAACCACATAAAGGAAAAAGAAAAGTTTTCATAAATAAATAAAAAAACATCAATAGAAAGATTGCAGAAGTTGAAGTCGTCATTCACTTTAGAGTGGAGGCCATCACGCACTTGCCTTTTATCTTTAACACTAGGATTTTTTTTTCGTTTTTAAGACCGGGAGACAAAATAAATTATCCAATAACCACTGATATGAGAGACTGCTGACCTGTTTTTCTAGTCGCAAACAAGGAAAAGACTTTAAAGCCCAGGCTACTTGCTCTTCATTTTCCTGTGGTGTAATGGTACAAGTGGAGTAGACAAGGACACCGCCTTCCTTTAATAAACTAAAGCGTAGTACTTTTAACCTACATGAACCTCCATACAATCCCATTCTTGTTTTAATAAAGTGTAGCCGTATGGATCATTTTTCGGAACGCCTGCCTGCTTCTGTGAAGACAAGCAAATTGCTCAGAACCTGAGCGCTGGACTTCTACTAATTTCTCACTTTCCTCAGGGACTGAATACCTACCGGAATTTATTTTCCTCTTTAGGGGTGACGACATTGAACGGTGAAGCACTTCAGCACTTCGCTCTTTACACTTCTTGCCGCTAGCGATCGAGAAGACTTCTGGCATCCAGGGTACAGTATAGTTCCATTTAAATTTACCGAGCCTTCGCTCATATGCGATATGTGGGTAGACAAAGTTGCGCATACCCATATTCATCATACAGGGACAACAAGGCAAGTGAAAGACGCAGAGCGCATGAAAATCGTCACCCAAGAACTTTGCGGGTAACAATTTTCACGAGAAACTAGCCCTGGGAAAAATATGGGCCTACAAATGGTCTATCGATCCCTTTATTCGAACCCGAGGGCGGACGAGGATGAATTAGAGTCATTTATAGTGAAAAACATGTCATTGGAGGAATGGAAAACACCACTGACAGAGTAATTATAAATCAGTGTTTATTCAGCTGGTAATTTTTGCAAATTTTGCAATAAAGAAACCAATACTATCTAAGTTAGGTGTAAATATTTCTCCGTCGAGTTTGCAAGGATCAAATCGCTGCACCAACAACCTTTCATCATCTGAAAGACCAAAGTTAGCAAGACCTGGTCCTCCAATATGAGGGGTCTGCGGAGAGAAACATGATCAAATAAGCAATGGGCATTTACATAAACCTGGAATTGGAGAGGGCGGGTTGGAAATCAGAGAAAAAGTCGCAGTTTCAGTTGTTTACATTAATCACTGACTGGGAAACAGCAATGATGAGAATAAAATAACAAATACGGGAAGAAAAGATAGAAGTGAATGGCTTTGAGAAAGGTGTAGGGTGGTCAGAGGAACATAGTTTTCGAGCTAACCACTTAAAAAGAAAAAGAAAAGAAACAAAGAAACAAAGAAAGAGAAAGAAATGTTTTCATAAACAAAAGAACATCAACAGAAAGATTTCGGAAGTTGAAGTCGTCATTCACTTTAGAGTGGAGGGCATCACGTACTTGCCTTTTATCTTTACCACTACGATTTTTTTTTTTTCGTTTTTAAGACAGAGAGACAAGATACCCTATCCAATAAACACTGATACAAAAGACTGCTGACCTGTTTTTCTAGTCGCAAACAAGGAAAAGACTTTAAAGCCCAGGCTACTTGCTCTTCATTTTCCTGTGGTGTAATGGTACAAGTGGAGTAGACAAGGACACCGCCTTCCTTTAATAAACTTACTGCCTGCAAAGACAATTAAAGTGAAGTGATTAGGATTCAGTGAGACGAAAAAATGGAGCAACAAACTCCTATTCCCCAGAATAATCAAGGATGAAGCCGTGCGAAGGCCAAAACGCGCAATTTCCCCATCCTTGATTTTTAAGGGGGGGGGTGGGGGGGGAGTATTTTTAGTTTTGGGTCTATTTCGTCGAAGATTGCAATCTTGGGCAGAATATTTAACAATTATTCCTCGCGCCCGAATGGGCTCTGAGTCAATTCGGCCTCATGGGCTATTGACTTAGAGGCCATGAGGGCGAGGGGAATAATTGTTTAAGTAAAATCCAACTAGTTGGTCAAAAATATCGAAAATAAAAAAACTTTAGTTAGTTAAAGCTAGACTTTAATCCTTTTTTGCCGCCAAAAAGCCCGCGCTTTTTGCTACTAGTGGGTTATAACATATAGCCTAGTAGTAGCTCAACCAATCAGAACGCAGCATTGATGATAGACCACTAGCTGGATTTTACTAAAAAGGAATAGCAAACAGCCATCCCCCCAAAATCAAGAATGAAGCCGCAAAAAGGCAAAAACGCACCAATTTCCCATGAGGGGAGATGGGTCTAAATTTTCCGTCAATTTTGTCCAAGATTGTAGTGTACGGTAGAAGCGCACGAGACACGCTAGGGCAAGGGCTTAAAAGTAGCAAAAATTGAAGCTTCCATTGCTTTGCTCGCCCTTGTGCGTCAACCGTGCTTCTCCCTCTTGGCTGAGGAGAGACAGAAACAGCTGCTACACAGGCTAAGAGGATAAATGCTTCAATGAATTTTTACCACCAAAATTTTCAATTAAAACTACCTCATAGTGACAGAAACATTTGCCACAACCCTTTATCTAGAAAACAACTTGACTTGTTCTCCTCACTTACAGTGGTGAAAAGCTTTCTTTGCAGTCTAGGGTAGGACTGTAACTCCTTCAAATTCATCCTGATGACAAACTGTGGCCGCTGACCCAATGCACTGCAGGGTGCATCCAGGAGAATACGGTCAAATGTTCCACAGGGGTAGGGTGGGGAGGCTGGAAGCGGCACTGGAAAATAAGTAACATATTGATATGTGATACCTCGTTTTCAAACTCGGAAACAGATGACTGAAAATGCGACAGAATTTGAAAGTTTAAAAATATAACCAAAAAAGAGTGTCTAGAAGAAGAAAGGGTTTTAACAAGAACCTGTCTAACTAAAGAAAAAATATTGGTCATACCAATTCATTTTGACAACAGACAAACTTGTTGCTTTGCTTTAAATTAGTGTTGACATGGTATACATATTGTACCACTCACGGTCTATGAAATAATCCTTACAGGAATCAAGAAAGGTTTGTGCTTTTTTTTTTTTCTCCACTCACTGTTTTCCATATCCCATAGCTTGTCAGGATCAACAGCCTTGATGCCATCATATACATAGCTCTTCACACAATGGATTCCAAGCCTGTCACAGTTTGCCCTCAATTTTTCTATCTTTGGTTCACTCTTGTCAAAAGATACTACAACACCCTGAAAATAATACCATGAAAATTAACCGTAAAAATAGCAGTCTTTCAAATGTAAGTAAATAGGATGGTGTTCAAATTGCCACTCACTTGGTCTTCCATGAGTGAGGCAAGGTGAGTTGTTTTTCCGCCTGTTAACATGGAAGAAAAAAATAAGTATTAAAAGCTGGTTGCGATATGATCACTACAATCACTGATAACAGTTAACCAACATTAACCAAAATTTGTCTAATTAGGAAGACCTTGGATAACAATAACATCAACCAGGTTGTGACGTCCAGTGGTTTTAGTGAAAACAAGGGTTTGGGTGGGGTGCTAGTCTCTCTGGCTCATAAAACCTGGTCTCGGTCATTCTTATTGAAGGATTTTCATCTAATTATAGCACAATACATGCCAAGGGGTGTGGCAAATTTGTTACACAATCACACTTCTCAAATCCTTGATAAAAACCAGGATGACCTCAATTTCAGTATTGACCTACAAAGAACAATAGCACACAAGCAAGCTCTCCATCATGTGTACTTTTGTGCTGCTCTCGTGAGAAGGAGAATGGAGAGCTTGCTCGCAGGTTAAAAGAACAACAACATTTTTAAACCAATTCACTTGGCATTATCCTGTGTGCAAACATCTCCTATTTCTTCTGCTGCACAGTAAATAGAAGTGACTTTGTTACAATTAGTGATGGTGAGTCCCTATCCATAACCAATGAGTCACAGTTCAAAAAATGATGAGTCCTAACTTGTAAATGCTTGGCCTTTATGTCACCAAACAGTTAATCTAAAAAACAACAGCCATAATGACTGCCACAGAAATTAGACAAACAGGATATTCTACAAAAACATCTTCAGATCTATCGATCAATCTTTGTGTTCTACGGGATGCATGCCATGAATTATTTTGCATCTTTGGGGATTTTTTATGCTTCAGGAATGCAGGACACAGAGGTAACAAAATCACTGAAATAGGAGACGTCTCCACACAAGCTATTTTGTATTATCATATGCCATTTGTACAAGCTCTGAGTCTTCTTGAATACGCTTCAAATCATCTTCACAACCTTTCTTGCAACTATGCCAGATAGCAGGTACACTAGACAAACCTGGTGCAGCACACATGTCTAAAATAATTTCACCAGGACGAGGACCCAACACATGTCCAACAACAACAGAAGGTAAGTTCTGAAGGAAGAGCAAATGTGGGAGAACACCACTGAGAGAGGGGCAGCTGTACAGAGGAAATCTCATTTGAATTGCAACACCACTGCAAACAAAAAAAATATGACAGCAGTGGGCACATGCAATATTCATTACTTTTATATGTGTGGACATATCTAAACAATGAAATCAAAAGCAAGTCTGGAAGGGTACTCCCTATTGTATAATGGTCCAAGGCAGGATGGAGGTTATAATAGGGGCTCTGTCCAAAAGGGGGTACCCACTTTTTGGCCATTAAGGTATAGAAACTGGCTGAACAGACAGACTTTATGCTCCTGTAATATTGTTTATTAACTTCATTCCAAAGGTCAAGAAACAGGATGCAGTGTTCATAAGAAGACATGTAAAAAGGCAACCATTTTTTCAAAGAAATGTATATGAAAAGGATACAAATGCACCCTTTCTGACAGAAACAGTATGACAAAAGGGGTAGTGGTTGGAGCTTAGGGGTGTAGGGGTAGATCCTGTATTGAGTACCCCCTGCCCCAGGAAGCAAGTGTCATATAAACACACCTGACGTTTTGCTCAGAGCANACCACTGCAAACAAAAAAAATATGACAGCAGTGGGCACATGCAATATTCATTACTTTTATATGTGTGGACATATCTAAACAATGAAATCAAAAGCAAGTCTGGAAGGGTACTCCCTATTGTATAATGGTCCAAGGCAGGATGGAGGTTATAATAGGGGCTCTGTCCAAAAGGGGGTACCCACTTTTTGGCCATTAAGGTATAGAAACTGGCTGAACAGACAGACTTTATGCTCCTGTAATATTGTTTATTAACTTCATTCCAAAGGTCAAGAAACAGGATGCAGTGTTCATAAGAAGACATGTAAAAAGGCAACCATTTTTTCAAAGAAATGTATATGAAAAGGATACAAATGCACCCTTTCTGACAGAAACAGTATGACAAAAGGGGTAGTGGTTGGAGCTTAGGGGTGTAGGGGTAGATCCTGTATTGAGTACCCCCTGCCCCAGGAAGCAAGTGTCATATAAACACACCTGACGTTTTGCTCAGAGCAAAAAATTTCCTTTCTTGCTAGCACAGCAATTCCATTTCCCAGAAAAACCTTCTGTCCATCAAAGGGTTTGATCAGACCTTTACGGCACTTGTTCTCAAGGTCGCAATAGACTGACACAACATCTCCTCTGTCAATACCTGAGATTAAAAGATAAATGGTTTTCTTCCTTTACTTTGAAAAAGAATCCCACACTCAATTTTAACTGGGACAAGGTCTAGAGGCATTTGTTGTCACTTGAAAGATAAGCATAAGGAAAATGGTTGTTTGACAAACCAAAAGATTGTGTGACACACATAATGACTTTGTACACAGAGTGGCAAGCACAAGGTTTGTGTGACAAGCTCATAGATTGTGTGACAATCACAAATTGTGTAAATGAGCTGTTTATATATATGCCCAAGACTGTGTGATGAGCCAAAGATCAAAAAGCAAAACTTCCCTTTCATTAATCCCTGAGTGACCCAGCAGTAACAAATCAGGATCAATTTTCCGAAAAGGACTGTCTTAACCTTAGTCCCCAGATGCAGACTAGCTTTTACTGCTGGGAACACTGATGAAACTCACCAGGATGAACAGCCATGACTCCAGGAACAAAAATGTCTGCTCCTCTGAGCACTGCCGCACCACAGTGCAAATCAACTATTACTTCCTTCTCAACTTGTGCGTGATCAACATGTGGACCAGAACCTTGAATCAAGAGAACATCATCCACACTGGGATGTGCAGTCACTTTATAATGATATTGCGTTCCTTCCTTCCACTTGCAATTCTACATTAAGAAATCAGCAACACTGTAAGATAATAATAAAATTATGGGTTTATTTCTTCCTTGGGGGGTAGGGGGTATTCAATGCCTTTCATCTAAATAGGCTTCTTCATACCTTTGCATGCATATGCTCTTCTCCGTTGCCTCTCAGCACATTTAATGTGGCATTCTGTCAAGCCTTGTCACGTGATTTTCATAGTAGTGCTCTATATCGGGTGTTTTTTGGCCTTCTGGGCTTCAAAAAATAATTTTTCATATTTTTTGGAGCTCAGAAGAATCCGAAAAATATTTCTTCCTCCTTTCGGGGTCTGAAGAGAATAACCAATATTTTACCTACAGGGAGGGATATAGCGATACATACAGGCTGCAAAGAAACACACAAAATGAGGCTAGCTTACTCTTCACAAACAATTTATTTCAAATTTCACGATTGGATCAGAAGCTTCCAAGATTCACAATGTTTGAAAGTCACCATGCATTTCCTGCCCCAATAAAAATGCACATGCACCAAATGAAAAGATTTGAAACAAAAATAATTCAACTTTTGCAAAGTTTTCCTTTTGACCTGTCTCAGAGGAGGCAGCATGGCCGAGCGGTCAGAGTGTTGGACTTGTAGTTGGGAGGCCCCAAGTTCAAGTACCGCCCTGACCGCTAGCTGGGTTTGTGGGTTTGTTCTCAGTAGTCCCGAGTTCAAATCTTCAGCCACACTTGTACAATAGCCAACTGAAAAGCCTCATAAGGGGAGAGGATGGTGATGATGATGACGATGATTATTATTATTATAATTATTATTACCTCATACAGAATGACTTGCAACTGCTGACAAACATCATGAACATTTGATTTCAAACTGTTCACTCGCACAACTGTAAACAATGGAGGAGTACTGAGTACTTCAAGCAAGTGATCAAATTTTTCTGAGTAGTCAGTCGAGCTGTTAGCTTCCTGCAATGGCAAAAAGAAGTCCCTTCAAAGATGATTCAATAGACAAGTGACATCCTTAAAGTCAGTCATAAAATGGAACATAAAATCAGGGATGGCAGAACAGTTTTTTAAGCAGGGAGAGCATCAATCCCATCCTACCCACCCCTCTAAAATGTCATTTTTATCACTTCACCCCCCCTCCCCTGATATTAGCACTAGAGGAAAGCTTAAGACTTAACTTGGTTATCAGTATTTACCCCTCACGGATCCCCAAGGAGAATACTTTTTTTATATGGCCTCTGTTTATGAAAGAAAGGAAGTTGTCTTTAACTCCATGATCTGAAAACGGCTGGCATACAATTCTAAGCCAACAATTAACTGCCGCCCAGTTAGCTCAGTTGGAAGAGCACCAGTCTGCTGAGCCGGAGGTCATGAGTTCAAACCCCGGCCAGACCTTCAACCAAGGTCTTTAAAAAAAACTAGTGAGATCATGCTAGCTGTGAATCCCCTTCCTCAGTTCAGATGATCGTGTCATTGGGCAGTGACGCCAAGCCGTTGCCCTTGTCTCCTTCATCCTTGTATTTCAGTTGCAAGAGGACATAAAAGAACCCGTGACATTGGTGGAAAAGAGCAGGGGACGTAGGCCCCACTATCATGGTCTATCTGAATGTGCCATCATCGGTCTGGGTGGGCGAGGTGTGATCAAAACATGGACTGAAGCGACTGCAAGAGTGCGCCTTTACATGCTGACGTCTGATCTCACCTCTCTGGTTACCTCGCAAATCAGCCATTGGCTGCAAGTGAGGAAAGTTGGCACCGTTTATTTTATTTTATTTTATTTATTTGTTTTTAAACAAGAAACTGGACATATAGCACCCCTATGCCCAAGGTACCCCAATCCCCATTCTTAACCCAATCTCTTTCTCACAACCCGAGCAGAGAGATCTGCAGGAATCGGTAATTTTCAACAGCATTACATGTCTTCAGAGTCGATTAAGCGTCTTTTAATGATATAAAATGCCTGATCAAACTTAAAATAAACAAATTCACTCGTGCGCACGTTTTAAAATTTAAACGTGAACACTATTGACACTTCACTTATAGCACTGCATTCAGCTGAAATACGCGAGTGTTTATTTTTTTAATTTATAGATTTAAAAAATTTTACACCAACGCAAATCAACATGATATTTTAGCTGTACATCTTACCTTCGAAGAAGAGAGGGAACTTCTTAGAAAGGCCTCGACTTCAGGAAATAAAAACGATAGTTTTGGAAGAAGACGACTTGACATCGTCAAATAGCCGCCATCTTTTTTATTTCTAGTTACCAGGCCACAACTGCATTGCCATTTGAAGGAACTGAATGAGAATTGTAATGAGAATTTCACTTTTAATCAAAGCTATCCAGCCAGATCAGTCAAAAAATCCTAAATATCGTTCACTAATGAAAACGTTTTTCATTAAGAACTCTTGGAAAAAGCCTATTTCATTTTACAAAACGACCGGTCCGGCCATAGCCTGCGAGCAAGCTCTCCTATTTGGGCAAGCGATGCGAGCCTCGCGAGAACGCGCGAGCGAGGGCCAGTTCTGACTTTTGGAAAGAGCCCTTCCGTACGTTAGTCATGGCAGCGCGGTGTAACCTGGCCCAATATTTTACAGTGTGAGGAAAACGCATTGATAATAAAATAAATGGATAAAGATTTATTTGTATTGTGAAAAACACGTACACATCGTACCTGGAATTGGTTTTCTAAGAACAGGGGAAAACCGGAACACCCAGAGAAAAACCCCTCGGAGCAACGGAGAAACGAGAAAACACCCCTTCGACCTGCTTAATTTTAGTACATTCGGAAAAAGCGTACTGCTCCGTACCATTATTGTGTTAAGTGTGATGCCTCACTAAAATTTACTTTATCTATTTTTCTCTTCAGTTTTTTGGGGTAATCGCGCCGAAAAAAGTCTACAAGCTAGCGAAACGCGGGCGAAACGACAATAGCTAGAGCTTGATCCCAGGTTACTCAAGACTTGTGCAGAAAGAGAAATTAATGTGTGTGATTCCAGCGTTACATGTTAGAGGGTGCAGAGGTTTTACATACACTGGCTACAGAGGTCTGTAGCCGTGTAGGCATATAAGCCATACCGGGTATGTGCCTCCCCATCAGGTAGGGTTTTTTGCTTCGTTTTGGTCTGAAAACGGGTACACACTTTGTCCATTTTGGTCTGGAATCGGGTTGGGTTTTCCAGGGAACTACGGGAGTGCATGAACATTTTTATTGTTTCAATTACAAATGAGTAAGAGAGAAAGAGAAATCTGCGAATTCCAAATAGAGTTGAATAATTTTTGTGTTTGAGCACTAATCTAAATAATGGTAACATAATTTCTGCCTAAAGGCCAGGTCTCAAAACGGGTATGGATTTTAGAGGTCCGGTCTGAAAACGGGTGTGGAAAATTACATTTTTTGGTCTGAAATCGGGTCAGGATTCGGAGAACGGGGCGGCACACCCCCACCAAGAATTCCCTGAGTTCCCCCCCCCCCCCCGGGTGTCAGTACTTTTTATTTGTTTTAACACTTTGTCAAACATCACTAAAAGGACTGATGCCACAAAAACACAAAAAAGAAAATGAAAAATGAGATAATCAAACTTAGCCAGCGTAGACTATCAAAGCTAAAAGAGGGACTCGTTGGCCTGCTTCAGTTTTAAAAAAAATGACGCGTTTTTTGACGATTCAAAGAAGCTATTGTTTATAATTGTTTTTGAGAGGCTTGACCTTGTCGGATATGTCGTAGAAGGTAAACAGAATTTTGGATCAGCCCCTTGAAAAATTCGTAAAACTAATATCATTCTCAGAATTAAATGCAAAAACGCCTCCACTATTTTAAGAAGAACAAATGAAAAACAAATTTATAATGAACAAAAAAAAATGAAAGATTTATGGATGAATGAATGATTTACTTATTAACACAAACATGTACACGAATAATTGAAATTTCTTTGTCTTTCATACAATAGACAAATCTCAAACCTGACGACACCCGTCAATCATCAGAATTATTTGAAATATTTCCGTCCTTGGACAGTCGGATTTGTACGAGTATTGATCGCATTTAAACGTGATGTTTGGTACTGCCGCCCGCGGGATGCAATTCCTTTGAAGATCGCTGTATTTAGGGTATAGGTGGTTGCAGCAATTGAATGGCAATAAGGACAAATGGAACCAACTGAAGTCAACAGCGGAATTTCCAAAGGATGGCAAGCATTCCAAATAATCTTTTGGACATTGCTGAGTTTGGTGACTTTCATTGGAAACGGTTTAGTGTTGACCTGTATTTTGATCAAGAAGCGGCGCAATTCGTCCACCTACAAATTTTACGCCAGCCTTGCACTGGGCGATCTCATAGTAGGTTGGTATGTCTTGTAGCTAGAGAAAACAGAAAAGACTAGGCAGCTTTCTTAGGAGGCTTGAGTAAAAAATTAAATACAGGTCACTCTGTAGCAGTAAACAGTAAATATTTAATGATTATTGCAAAGAAACCTTATACTGGCTCATCATGTCAAACTTTCAATCTGCTCCCGCTGCAAACCACATAGATGTTTTGTCGAGACATTTCGTGCGATCGTATCCCTGCATATATTAACATTCATTCTTAAGGTTAGTTCACTTATTTCTTGCTCGAAACGTGTTTCGGCGCCAGTCGTTTGAGAGCCATCGACTTTGCATAGTCTACACACTGGGGGCGGCTGTTAACATGCAGGTAACATGTAATCAAATATACAGGTCGAAGTTTTAACCTGTGTGTTACCATATGTTTCACGACCTCGGCTGTTGTTTCTCGAGCGTTTATAATATCAATATAATTTCACGCCTATTGAACAATGCAGACAATAAGATTGTGCAATATTTTTGTTTCCTCAATTTTAACCGACAAACTCGCTAGAGCATCGACGGAAAATCACTCTTTTTATAAGCGACCACAATCACCTATTTTCACCTAGGGCTCTCCGCGTTCCTTTTGTTGTAGCCTGACGGAGCCTGGTCCCTTGCTCCTTTTGATGTGTGTTTATATTGACCTACAGGCGGACTAGTCTTTCTCTGCCTAATTCATTTTGATATAAAAAAAGAGTCGTTCATAAGCATATTAAAACCCGAGACTTCGAATGCACAAGATGCCTAAATTGTTGCCGGCTATGTGTGGGTGTATAATTAAAAGAACTTTATTTTAATTTTTCCTATCAGCGTACACTATCAATACATGTGGATCATGTCCGGATAACATGTATATTTATGTACACAGAACCTAATGAGCCGGAAAATAACCTCTCGACACGTTGACAACATGAAGTTCCAATCTTTTATTTAGTTCGCGGGCAAAACCCTGTGGTGTGACTCTTCCAACGCCACAAAACCCTCTCAGTCGCCGATTTTTCGTGCATTTTTCTGCATTTACGAAATTGAATTTGGGACTTTACTTTACACAACCCTACACCGTATTCACAAGTGGCGGACAAGCGGGAAAAAACTGGTGCCTAGTCATGAAAGCGAGGCATTGGAGGATAAACAAAAGACTTTCAGTGAACTTGTACTACATCCGATTTTTTAGTTTATTTTTTACTTATTTTTCCTTTTTGGTGTTTCTAGTCCAGAAGTACTCCTGAAAAAGAGGTTTCTCTGTGTTTTCAACTCGATTGTAATTCATGCACGCTTGGAAACACAGCTGACCCTGTCGACTAATTATTAACAACGAAAATCAGTTCCCTGGTTAGAAAACCGGAGATTTAAATTTGACTTGAGTCTTTATTTGACTCTGAATAAGAGAGGCCAGTCCTTTCAATGAAAAGTTAGTTTGTTAAATTATATTTTCATCCACTGGCTAAAATATATAACAGCATTGCCTTTTTATCGCTTCTAGTCAGTTTATACATCATTCAGTAGATCCTTCATCATTATCATCATCATCATTATCATCGTCGTCGTCATCATCATTAGGGACTTTAAGATCCAACGACGAGACGGCGACAAAGAACGTCGCTCAAAAGGTGAATTTGCGATCTTTCAGTCTTTACAGCGATTATTCCTAACCGCGTACTTCGTCAAATCTAGGCGAACCCTCCTGAAGCTGAATTTCAAGGGACCATATTCAAAAAAATTTCATCGTTGCTTGTTTACGTCTTCTATAAAACGCGAAATTAGGCATTTTCACGTTGTAGTCGTGCAAAAACGAGAAAGAAATGTACAAAAAAGTGTGATGCACGTGCGAAGTTGTTGCTTTGTTTATTTTAATAAACAAAACAACGTTCTCGTTGTCGTCCGCGTCGTTGGATCTTAAAGTCCCTATTGTCATCACCACCGTCATCTTCACCTCATCATCATCATCATCATCATCATCATCATCGTCATCATCATCATCATCATCATCATCATCGTTGTCATGGACCAGCGCACTATCCTCGTTTTTTCTAGTTCTTCCTTTACTCTCTACTAATACGCTAATGATCGCACAAAAGGAAGAAGCTTGTCTTATTTTGCGACTTGAAATCCCATAAAAAGACTGTTAGTCTTTTCGACTTGGTAACTTCTTAATCTTTTGATGTCTTTTTTTCCCCATACAGGTTTATTTTGTGCCCCAGTCCTCCTGGTCGCGGCTTGCAGGCAGCAATGGACTATGGGAGAGCCATTATGTTACGCATACTCTACAGCAATATCAATATCTCTTAACGTCTCCATAATGACTTTGTTTCTGATCAGTTTGGATCGCTTAAACGCCGTCTCAAAGCCTTTTCATTACCGAGCGAAAGAAACTTTCACCCAGAAGTGGACTAAATGGTTAATCCTCTTTGCTTGGGTCCACTCTGTGTTCTGGGCCGCAGCGCCTCTGGTTGGCTGGGGAGAGATCATTGAAGACCCCATCACTAACTCTTGCAAACCTAACTGGGCTGCTAAAGGCCTAACAAACACTTTGTACACCATGGGCTTAGCAGGTTTCGCATTCGCTATCCCGGTAGTATCTATGATAGTGGTATACGGTATCATCTACTATCGCTCCAAAGTTAGCAGTCGTTTCATGAAAGATCGTTCTCAAAACGCGGTTTCTGATGATGCAGTGCGTCAAAAACAACAGAGTGCAATTTTACGGACGGTGTTAGTTGTGGTTGGGATGTTTGCAGTGTGTTGGTTACCCTACACCATCGCCACAACGTTTAAACTGTTCTTTCGCAAAGCGCCGCCGTCTTGGTTAGTTCATTTTGGATTGATGATGGCGTCTGCTAACAGTTTTGTAAATCCTGTCATTTATTCTGCATTCGATAAGAGCATGAGAGACGAGTTCAAGAGAATTTGCAAACTCTGCAACAGAAAAGGAGATGATCTGTACGACGCTAGGAGCCGACGAACAAGCTCAAACTTGGCCACATATAACACCACTGTAACAAGAATAAGCAACGAAGCAGTCAATAAGATTCTTAAGGAAGGCAAATTTACTGAAAGCCCGCCGTTGTCGAGAAAAGATACAATGAATAATGACAAAATGGTTACTGATATGTACGTGGATAACATCGTCCAGAAAATGGAAAAATCTGGGAGGGAAACATGGGTTTGATTCTTAACAAAATGTTTGAAGTTCGCCCTAGGGTAATCTATAATCTACACTTTCAAGCATTATTAGGAATCCATTGGACAAGGCTTACGGCTGCCAAAATGTCTACGGACAAGAACAGTTACAAAATCCTAAGATAACATTTAAGCAAAGTGATGAGCAAATAGAAGCATTTTTTATTTTCTGATTTTATTTTTCTTAGCTTTTCAAAAGGTGAAGTGGCGTCTATACGTACTCCTTGTTGAGTGATTCCATATAAGAACTATGTAACACATTATTGGAAGATTTGTAAATAGTTGATTTTGGAAAATGTAAATCCTTCCAAAAATTATGTACTGCTATATATTATTATACCAAATTTAAGATATTTATGACCTGAATAAAATATTCTTAACAGTCTAGGTTACGTTTGGGTAAGCGAAGACTGAGAGGCAACATTAATTCAACTTCGAAAGATACGTAATAAATTGTACATTAAATTACATGAAGAAATGATCATTCGAGTTGTCAGGTAATTTAGGTTGTAGCTACCCTTCCCTCGCTCCCTCCCTCTCTCCCTCACTTCCCACCCTCCTTCCTTCTTTTCTTTAAAGAAGCATCCTTGTCACTTTTACATGGTAGCCTGGGGGGTATATTACGCTGCAAAAGATGTTAATTTTAAAATGACTATGGATACAATAAATACTAAGTACAGTGTAGTGCGCGCGCGCGCGAACCAACGTCATTTGGGCGGGAAAATGTGACAGCCATCGTCATTCTGAGTCGTTGTGGTGGAAACAAGTAATCAAAGGTAAGAAGTTTTATTATTCTGCTTTCGGTAGAGGTCTTAACCTCCTTCAGTATAAATAACCGCACCAACGTTTTTGGTAAAAAAAAAAAGTAAAATGAAGCTTTTCGGGGTGTCTTTTTAAGAGAACACGAGCAAAAACTTTTTAAATTAAATCTCGTACTCGTACTCAAATCTAAAGCTCTCTATTATAACTCCCGATGGTCATGCTGTGAATCCTTCTTTTGGCCACTGTTTATGGTGAGTTCATTAATCCTCTCCTCTATGAACTTTCTGACTTCGTCATGTAAAAGATCAGAGTGGTCATTCGTCGGATCAGAAAAATACGAAAGAAACCTTTCGTAGTCCTCAAGTGTTTTATCGTCTCTTAACATAAATTCTTCAACAATAGCTGGCTGTACTCCGATGGACGCCAACAAAGATGTCACTTCGGGGTCACTGTGCCGAGATTGACCGCGGATATTTACCTGAAAAAAAAAATTCAAAAGCACCTCAAAAATGACGTCTACTGCGCATGTACCTCTCATTACTGACCTGGTTTTCTCAGTCCATACTGTAAGTTTCGGACCGCGCTTAGGTGATAAATCAACAGAAGATATGAGGATACTTTAAATAAGATATACTATTATATTCTAATTCGCTACCCCGCTCAAACGAATATAAAACATTTATCATGTAACAAGCAACCTCAATTGGGGTGTGTCAACACGAGCCGTGTGCGACCCTCTTTATTATGCCTTCATCAACAGAATGGATGGAAATAATACAACAAACAGAATGAAAACTCGGAAATGTAAAAAATTACAGCAAGAAAAACAACCCAACAAAATGATCTAAACTATGCTCGTATAACAATGATTCATACAAAACGTGCTAAACTTTTCATATAGCAGCATGCAAAAAACTACGTCTAAGAGAAACCCCTGGTCACTGGGTATTTAATTTTGTGGGCGTAGGGACGGTCGTAAGACGCGAATGAATATAAATGAGAACAACTCAAATATATAGCCTACCGCTAATGAAGCAACAGAACAGCATACCATGTAACACCCCAAAGAAAAGGTTACATAACCCATGATAAATACATTTATATTCTAATTCGCTACCCCGCTCAAACGAATATAAAACAATTATCATGTAACAAGCAACCTCAATTGGGGTGTGTCAACACGAGCCGTGTGCGAACTAAAAGAACGGGAAATACGGAAAATTAAATACCCAGTGATAGTGAAACCGACAACAATGAATGAACACTATCCTTAATGTAACCGTCTTTTGCCTTGTCTGATTTCCAACGGCCGTGTCTTTTAAACAATCTGTCAGGCACTCGAGCATTAGCAGCAGCGGAGGCGCCTCCGGCCCTAAGGCTATGGAGACCGTAGTCTTGCTTGGGAAGGCCGATGGAATCGAAAGCGCTAAGCACTATCTCCCGCGCTCTAGTATAAGACAAAGGAACAGACCCGCGCAATTTATAAGCTCCGGTACTGCGAAGAAAAACAAGAGGGCGAAAAATGAACTCTTCGCTGTCTGCTGAAAAAGAAGCGGCCACAAAATATCGTTGAACTAATAAATAAGGACATGTATGCTTGAAAGTTTTAGCGATAACAACCCAAGCCCCATCCCTGTAAACGTCAGTCTTACTTCGATGAACAAAGATTCTCATAAAAGAATCTTCAAACTGAAAATCACACCTGCGTAACTGAACCAACTCGTTAAAGCGAAAAAACCCTGCATAACCTAAAACGCACAAAGTAAGCACTCGTAAATCAGACAAACTAGCTGAAGACGATCCATACTTAGAAAATAAAAGCTGAATAGCCTCGGGGGTCACAGGCTCTTTCTTTTTAACAGGGATACTGAGAAGCCTCTTAGCAGATTCTATTAAAGGTAAAACTAACGAGGAATTACAGGGGTCGGGTAGACCTGCCAAATCATGCACCCACTTGAGCCCATAATGGACTTCGTCAATAGTACTGCAAGAAGCAGATTCTTGAATCAAGCTAAGAAAGAACAATGAAACGTGCACACTAGAAGCGGGAAATATAACAATTTCTTTAAACTGAGAAGCCCATTTTCTCCACGTATTGAAGCCCTTTTCGTACTTCCTCGCGGTACTGTCGGCTTTGGATTTAAGAAGAACTGCGGGGAGATCTTGAACCAGTGCCCGGAGTCGCCCGTCTTCAACCTGTTGAAAATTAGGCTGCAAGGCATCTTTGAGAACTTCTACGAGGATAAGAACAAAAATATATGGCAAAATTCCTCAGTACACGCACTGGGAGTCAATACAGCAATAAAAAATGGACGCTTGGTAATGCCTCTGACCGGATGCAAAACTATTTAAGGCCGAATGGGCCAACTCAAAAACGACGGTAAACAAGCCACTCGGCGAGCTAGTTTCATGCGAAACGAGGACAAATGAACCGACGAGCGGAATAAAAAACACGTGAGCCAACATAAAGCCACTCGGCTTGAAAAAACTAAGGCCCCTTAGCGCCAATTCTGACTGCCAGCACCGCGCTGTTAAACCTGTCTGAACCAATGAGTGAATCTTTGTAACACCCAAGGGCAAAAATCCCTGAGGGGTCGGGAAAATGAATGTACTCAAGGACGTACGGTTGGAATTGAACAGCATTTGCGAACAAGAAAGGCCAAAACACATTAGACGGCCAATAAGGGACGACTAAAGTACCAACCGCACCGCATACAAGGAGATGCTGAACCGCCCTAGTAATGCAGTGGACGGGAGGGACTAGCCAATTATTCTCTCCATTCCACGAGATTGAAAATGCGTCAACAGCTTCAGTGCCGGGCACGCGAAACCTAGAATTGAATCTGGGAAGATGGGCGTTGGCAGCATTCGCAAACCTGTCGACTGTATGTGGGCCCCAAAGGTGGTCCAAGTGTGCGAAGAACTCGGGGGTTGTATACCAGTCATCGAAGTCTACAATGTGGCTAATCGCATCAGCACAAGCATTAAGTTCCCTGGGAACCCACTGGGGAATAAGTGTAATATTGTAAGTTCGACAAAAATAGAAAATATCAAGCGCAATAGAATGCAATTCTGCACTAGGACTCCCTATCTCCACAACACGAACGGCCCCTTGGCTGTCAGAATGCCACTTTACACACTTACCCCGAACCGAGGCTTTGAACGCACTTAAGGCAAATTGTATAGCCTTAAGTTCTCTCCAGGTAGAGCTCTTAGCTGCTTCGCAAGCAGTCCACATACGATGGGACACCTCATTAGTGCCCACAACAAAAGCCCCGCAGGCGACGTTGCTAGCGTCCGAATAGCTAAACAAAAGGGGAGCATTATAAGGCAAAATAGGTCTCGTATTAAGACTAACGATATTGTTTTTCCAGAAAAATATTTCAGAGAGGCAATCATTATGAAGCCCGATATTAAAACGGGAATCCCAACTACGGCGGGATTCTATGACCTTGTAAAGAAAACGGGTTTTGAGACGAGTCAGGTTACCCAAAACTGGCGACATGGACATAACATGACCTGCGATAACGGCACAATCCCGAGCCGTAACATAAGGTGCGGATAGAAGAAATTTGTCAATCAGAGCGATAAATTTGCAAATACGTCTATCGGTAATAGAAATGGTACCGATAACTAAGTCCCAGTTTAAACCCAACCAAACAAGCACCTGAGTGGGGTTCCATAGTGATTTGGCGGAGTTGGCAACAAACCCCGCACTGCTTAAGGATGATTGCACAAACAATGAATTTTCCTTGGCCATAGGCAGTGAATCCCCTTTTCCGCACCCATCGTCGAGGAACACAACAATTTTAATCCCGTTAGACCTCCAAAACTTAACGAGTGGTCTGAGACACTTGGTGAAGACGTATGGGGCTGAGCTTAGACCGAACGGAAGTGATGCAAAACAAAAATACCGAACGGTACCAGAAAAAACCCAGGAGAAACCCAGAAAAGTTTGGTGATCCGGAAAAATATCGATATGATGATATCCAGACTTGAGATCGAAACTGAAAAGGTAATCGCCCTTATTAACATATGATAATAAAACTCTCCAATCTTCACACCTAAACTTCTGTTTCCAAATAAAATGATTGACATGACGTAAGTCCAGAATAAGCCTCTTCTTGCCTGAAGACTGTATCGAGACAGAGAGTGGATTAACGACATGTGGAATAAAGGGCACCTCAACGACGGCGTGAGTGTGGACTAATTCAGCGATAGCCGACTCCACGAAAGACGCATTATTAAGAGCTGACTGATTGTTAGAAAAACGCGCCTGACAAGGTGTGCTAATGAATGGGATCCGATAACCGAATTTAATAGTATCGATGACAAAACTATTGGCACCAATAGTGTGCCAATAACTTAAACAGGACCTAAGTCTACCCTTAAGTACTGGCAATGCGGAATTCTGTTCAAATTCAAATAGATTACGATCATAATCGAAATCGACTAATGAACTAGAGTCCCTTTCCCTGAAATACTCCAAATAAGAAGGATACATGTCTAATAAATTGAGTAAAGCTAATATCTAACCTTGGAGAACAAGTTTTTAATTCTGTGGTCCTATTTACCTCCAATGCCCGAAAGACCAGAAGAACTAGGAAAGGACGGCCCCGAGCTTGAAGATCTGGCTTGAGGATTAACTTGACACTGAGATCTCCAATGACCTTGCTGGCCGCAGGCGAAACAAATATCACTTGATCTTGGTTTGCTGAAAGCGCCAAAAGTACGAGAAATAGGTCTGGAGGATGATGAATGTTGGCCAGCAAACGCGGTGGTTGCGGTAGATGATTGGAGTTGTGAATAACCTTGCTTGGATGGCTTCGCTTTCTGTTGGCGTTGGTTGCGTTTACGAAGGGCCCTCTGCTCGGCACGGCGGATACGCTTTTCGTCCTCTGACCCGCTAGCCAGCTCGTCTGATAAATACTCGTTCACCAAATCCCAACCGGCGGCGGACTTGTCTGCCAGTCTGATAAGTTTGTTGCGCTTCTTGATGTCAGAGTCTAGTTCTTCCAGGTGAGTTTTAACAAGGTCTAATTTTCTCTTCCCGAGAGCAACTGACGCCGACTTCACCTTCTCTGCAAGGTCGGAGTTGAATTGAAACTGTTTCTTATTACCTTCGAATCTAAACGTGATCTTGGATTCTTCTTTAAGCTTTTTGGCCACAGAATCGGTATTACTGCACGACTCGTCTTGAATATCGCGCTTCAAGGCGCCCAACTTCTTGTCGAAATAATCCTTAAATAGAGAGAACGCGGACGCTATATCACTGGATTCTGAAGACTGGATTGGTACTGAAGCTTCGAGAGGTTGAGACAAAGGTTGTTTAGGGAGCGAAGGCAGCAAAACGTCGCTGCCAGGAAAATCTGTGCTCGCTGGAGTAACGTCTTCAACATCGGACATAATTTTGAGGGCGTAGGGACGGTCGTAAGACGCGAATGAATATAAATGAGAACAACTCAAATATATAGCCTACCGCTAATGAAGCAACAGAACAGCATACCATGTAACACCCCAAAGAAAAGGTTACATAACCCATGATAAATACATTTACATTGTAGCTTTCAAGTTAACCGGCATAAAAAGTAAGTTCGGATGAAAATTTTATTAAATAAAAAAAAAAGGGAAAACAAAACGAAGGGGTCATACGGGAAGTCCTGGCCAAACCTTTAGCAAACTTACGAAATTTACTAAGATCGCAAGATAACAAGAAATTTGAAAAATTCGCTTGTGTTCGGTTCTGGAAATAAGACCACGGGTCCGGTCAAATTTTAAAACGGACGAGTTTTTTACTTTGCAACCAGTTTACACGGAACCTCGCAAATTCTGCAACAGATTACAGTACTGTTTGCCGTTCAATACTTGCACGGTTCCGCGTGTCCCGTGTAAACGAAAGACGGGTCCGTGCCAGTTTTTGTCCGTTCAAAAACTTGTCCAAACCAGTGTAAACGGGGTCTAAGGCCTGGTTCAGACGCTGCTCCACTCATGTGCCGAACCTAACTGATGAATTAAGTATCGCAGAAGAGCAGCGTCTGAATCAACTTTTAGTTAGGTGCGGCAAAAGTTCGACAAACTCTGTCGAACTTTTTTCGAACTTAACTTAGGTTCCGTCACACGGTGCGCTGTCTGAATCAGATGTCGTGCCAGTGTCGCTCCAAAGTCGAACTTATTCAGTTAGGTTCGGCACATGAAAAGTACGGCGTCTGAACCAGGCCTAAGAGGATAGCCTGCGTAGCAGGCGCTTGGAAGTAGTGGGCACAAGAAAAAACGGGCGCGCGAGAAGGAGACACGTGTGTCTCCCTCGCGCGCGCCCGTTCTCTCTTTCACCTACTACTTCCACGCGCCTGCTACGCAGGCCACTAAGAGTTCTACTTTTCACTTTTTTTTTAAACTTTATTTTATTTCAAAATCCTTGTTACAAAATAAATCAAAACACAACCCGCAAGTAGCAAAGGCTATTCGAGGCGGGTTGTGTAAAAATAAATAAATAAATAAAAATAACCAGGTAGATTCACAAAATAAAATGTAAAGGAAAAAAAAGTGTCGTAAGAAAAAGGAGGTAAGACAGTTGACTCTTCAGGCCACCGTTTTTCTGTTTCAAAGACTAAATGGTTGATTTCGTCATTATCGTTGTTATTTCAACGATAGTTATAGTGAGATTTTGCCACTCGAAAATTTCGTGCGTGCCACATGAAGCACACCATCATCTCACCCTATCTCTTTTCAGTTCTGCTAAAGGTAGTTTCAAGTCTCATGATTATACGTTCTGGGAAACTGTCCACCTACCCCTACCCTAAGCCAACATCAACACTTACTTCTTACTTAGAGCAAACTGTCGGCTTAGGGGAGGGGTAGGTGAGCAGTTTCCCAGAAACGTATGATGATCCAGACACTTTACCTCTCCCGGAGGTGTTTGGCCAAATGCTTCGTCTACTACGTCAGCAGGTACAGACATAACGTCATCCTCTGTCAGAACACCATCCTGGTCTTTGTCGAGCATTGCAAACCGCTGGGAGACAATACAAAACCAAAACTTAAAATTGGCTTGGTATAAATTTGGAATTATTTTACCCTTCTGGGAAACTGCAAACCAACCCCTCCCCTAAGCCAACATTAATACATACTTCTCACTTACGGCAAAATGTTAGCTTACGGGAGGGGTAGGTGGGCAGTTTCCCAGAAAGGTAAAATGGTCCTAAGTTTGATCGCATAGTCGGTTCAGTTCAGAACCTGGTTTTACAACAAATATCTCAACCCGAATGTTTTGTGCGTTTTCCTCAATATTTTTACCCTTTTAACTACGTTTGAATTCATAAAATGTTGCTCCCACTTCGAAATTGATTGCAGAGTTGAAAAAGTTGCCATCTTGGTTTGATGTTTAGACAGAGAGCAAACTGCCCACGAGTAGAAAATCCTTAGATTGACGGAAATGAGAAGGTCAAAAAAGCAAAACAGGCTCAATGACTGAGACAACAACACTGCACGTGGAGCACACTTTCTAGTACATTTCTTGATGTTACCGCATGACTACCACGTCAAATTTCCTAACAGCTAACCAAACAGCAAACGGCAGACGTCAGAATCAAGTTGAGAATTTCTCAGAATATAAAATAAGCAGATAAAAGCAGTCCCAAACGATTCCTATGGTTAAAACTGGCATAAAACTACTTATTTTTGTGTAGAAGCAATAAAGAGTGAACGGAGAATAAGGGGAAAACTTGGTCACGTGGTACAAATTCATGTCTGCCATTTGGCGTAAACGTGAATCTTAATCTCTCTAATATCACGTTTATGGAGGACGTAAACACAAGAAGACGATTTTCCTTTTCTTTTACTGGACTTGGATATAGTCATTGGATTCCGTAGGAAATCACCCCGAGGAAAATTCGCTAACATTTAACCAGTTGAAGAAAGGTACTAAATATTAGTTAAACTGCATGAATAAAAGTAGCGTTTTCGCTGCCGTAGTCGTCGAAGTTTCAAAACTTTAATGACCTCTAGAAATTGATTACCTTTTCGGTTATGAGTCTCTCTCCTGTATGTTCACCCTGGAGAAATTTAAAAAAGAGAAGGTTTGGTAGCAGAAAAGACGACTGACAACACGAAAAGTCGCATTGCAAATGCGGAAATATATACACTCGACTACCGGTAACTCGAGCCCTCTATAACTCGAACCTCCCGTTAACTAGAAGTAATTTTCAATTCCCTTCAGATTATTTGCCATTTAATTTTACCCTAGATAACTCGAACTCCCAATAATTCGAACCTTTTTCTATTTCCCTCGAAGGTTCGAATTATCGGGGGTCGACTGTACGTAATCTGTAAAAAACAGCCGACATTTCTCTACGTCACCACTGGTTTTCCCGCAAAAAAAAACTGCTATGAGCGCAAAAATTCCATACTGATGACGGGTTACTACCCAGATCTGCGTAGTGCTTCTGATTGGTTGAGGAAATTGCCCAGGCGGCACGACCAATCAGAAGCACTACGCAGATCTGGTTAGTGACACGTCAACAGTATGGAATTTCTGCGCTCGCTTCGCGGAAAAACCAGTGGTGGCGTCGACAAATGTCAGCTGTTTTCTCAGGCTAAAACATATACGAAGTGTTTAATTTGCTAAGACTCGGGGTAAGGCACAGAATTGAAAAGTCTGAAAATGGCCGCACTATCAGTGATCCTAGGTATATATAACATTAAGTGTATTTGGCTGCACTACAAGTTAGTTTCTCACCACAATTAAGGGATTTATCGTCTCAAAAGAAACAGATCCACCATTGTCTTTGATAACTTGAAGAGCCATGAACCTTCAAAGTATACAAATAAATCAACGATTAAAATAGTGGTCTGTTATAGGAAAACTGAAACGCTACTTTGCCTCAGTCTCTTAAGAACCACGACTCACACATCATGGCATGGCCGCCTCTATAAATGTGTTTAACCAAAAAAACCCTACTTGAAAGTAGCGTTCCTGTTTTGCACAAAATCGAGTTCTTAAAACAGTTTCCCGCCATTTTTACTTCACGCTCTAACCATTATTCTTCGCTTACATAAAACAACCACCAGACGTCCTTGCTCTAACGACGTCATCAGGCAAACGACCAATAGTCCAGTTTCGAATTCGTCGTAGCTGCTAAATAAAAGCGCCGAAGACTTATTTGTACAAGGTTAGCCTCGACCTAAATTAAAATATTCGCAAATACCGGCGAGAAAGTGCCTGAAGTCATGTGAGTTAAAAACAAAAGACACAGTTGTACACACTGGGTCTTCTTCTGACTGGAATTTGTGAATATATTTACCTTTGGTCGAGGCTAACCCTGTATAAGTGAGTCTAAAGTGTTTCTTTCGGCGGCCGCGACGAATTCGAAACTGGACTATTGAAAAACCTCGTTTTGAGGGTTCTTTCTTTCATCTTCTTCGTCACCACTTATTTTGATGAGTGACGTAGATGATGAAAAAAAGACCCTTGATACTAAGTTGCATCCAAAATCGCACTGACCTTCAGATTTGGAATAAGACAATATTTTTTGAGGTGCTCTTACAAAATAAAACTGCTCGAAAATCTTCGTCTTCCGTTTGGTAAAGAATCTAGATGTAACACTTTACATCTTGGCTAGTAGTCGATTCATACCTTAATTGCTCTCCTGTTGTAAACTTGAAGTTACTCAACTTTGCCTGAGATGAACCCAAATTTTCTAAATTAACTGTAAACACAAGCAAGATAAGTATAAAATCAATTTGCTGACAGTGCTGGCGAAGACCTTCATTTTCTTTCACAACCAAAATGAGATGCGCAAATGTAACAAAAAGAGTTTCGTTGAAAAGATAACCTCGACAAGCTTTAGTTGCCTCCAGTTAAAACATAAAACGTCTTTTCTTCATCAGTCACCCTTCAGATGAAGTCTCATCCCGTGGCGTTTATTTAGGCCCGTAAAATCAACATTGAGCAAAATTGTCCATCGACACAAATCACTCAACATCAAGAACACACAAATATGAGACAAACTGTCAATGATACATTTATATTCGCTAAACTACTTTTCACTCATGTGTTTGTATTTTTTTATCTCTTCGGCAAGATACCTTCACAATCAGTAGAATTAAATCTTTGAAGCGGGGTCCACCAAATATTGACGGCGATGTTACGAAAGAGTGACGTAACTTGATGACCCCATCTGCAAGGAAAAGCGATTGGGAAAATTAGTTCAGCATATCCTTACAAAGTCCCTGATACGCCATTGAGTAACTAGGTGAACTACGGGTAAAGCAGGAAGTCTACAGGGAAAGCGACGACAGCCAGCCGCTGTACTCATGTGGATGTACGAAAACGGGGGTTTTTGAAAACGATTACATCACGGGCTCATATGCTAGTTAATGCGCATGCTCCCTTCAAAGATGGTACCGTTATCAGTGGCTATTGCGTTTTTGTGTGGATAAGCAAAAAATGATTCAAAACCGCAACGTGTGGACACAGATGTTTTAGAAAAGGGGGCGAAAAAGATCTCCGTTTTCAGACAAGCCCAAAGTTGAACAAAAATTCACGTTTTTACATTTTACATTTTCTGGGGGGAGAGGTGCGAGATTGACGAAAGAAAACCTAGTATAACGTAGGCCATACAATTTTTAGCGGATACGGATTTGTTACACAGTGGAACCTCTATTCAGGGGACACCCTCAGGACCAAGGCAAGTGTCCCTGGAATGGAGGTTAGGCTGGTGGTTCGTTAATAATAAACCAACAAATAAAATATTTTTCTTTTTTCTACCTCGGAATCTTCTGCAGTCATTACACTTCATGTAGCCAGATAATGTATGAAAAATCATTAATTTATCTCTACGATGTTGTGGGGTTAATTCCCACAGGTGCAGTGCATCAAATTTGAGTGAGACAGTTCATGTTTTGAAAGCTGTCGCCATTTTGACTAGTAAATACTAAAACTTAACAACGATTTTTGTGGTTAGTCACTTTTTGAGGGCTAAAGCGTCCTCTGAATGGAGGTTAAATCCGGCTTTCAGGACCCAGAAAACTTGTTCCTTTCTCGTGAATAGAGGTGTCCCTTCAATAGAGGTGACAAATACTGTGTCCCCTGAATGGAGGTGTCCCTTAAATAGAGGTGACATATACTGTGTCCCCTGAATGGAGGTGTCCCTTCAATAGAGGTGACACATACTGTGTCCCCTGAATGGAGGTGTCCCTTCAATAGAGGTGACACATACTGTGTCCCCTGAATGGAGGCATCCCTTCAACAGAGGTGACACATACTGTGTCCCCTGAATGGAGGTGTCCCTTCAATAGAGGTGACACATACTGTCAATAGAGTTGACACATACTGTGTCCCCTGAATGGAGATGTCCCTTCAATAGAGGTAACAAATACTGTGTCCCCTGAATGGAGGTGTCCATTCGATACAGGTGACCAATACTGTGTCCCCTGAATGGAGGTGTCCCTTCAATAGAGATGACATATACTGTGTCCCTTTAATGGAGGCGTCCCTTCAATAGTGGTGTCCCAAATTGGAGAGATTCCACCGTAGTTGCTATGATTTAACTCATTCATGCCCAGGCAAAAATGAGGAAAAGAGCATTGTTTTGAGTTGGCCCTCCTTTACTTATTCTCTTCAAACTGGACCCAACTCACCCATAAGGTATAAACATACAGTCTCCTTGTTCAAGACGTGCAGACCACCATGGTAGGTTCTGTAAGCTAGGATACTTGAACATGTCCACTTTGTCAACATTCACGCTACAATAATCACCTTCTCCGTGATCCATGTCAATTAACTTGGTGTGTTCCTAGAAGTTACCAATAAAAGCGAAATTGCCATTGCGGTATCTTAAACATAGTTGAACTCCCTATATTAGCTTCAGTACTGTCTATATCCTGAGAAAAGAGCCAATGTTTTGTGACAATACCACTGGTTTCCCCACAAAATGACATGATGTGTCACTACCCTAATCTGGGTGGTGCTTCTGAAGGGTTGATAATTTGCTTCATCCAATCAGAAGCCAACAAAGATCTGGGTAGTGCAGGGTTTTCTTTAAGGATTCTAGTAGCAGGAGAAAGGTGTAACATTACAGGAGAAAATTTTTAGAGGCTCCACATTTGAGTAAGAAATAGACATAGGTTATTGACCATTAGCCAGAGAATTCTGCATAGTAAATGGTGAATTCTCCAATCTCCAATGCCTAATGAACACCCTGGTAGTGATGCATCCTCAACATGAAATTTTTGTGCTTGTTCCTCAGATGTCATGTCAAGGAAACCAGTGGTGGTGTCACACAATGTTGTCTGTTTTCTCAGACTATACTGTCCAGTATTCCCTATAAATTTCACATAAGTTAGGTTCATACCAGATCCACTATGAACCACTGCTTGACTCCACTTATCATACAGTTAATATTATCCACTGTGTCCATATGAAGGAATGACTTGGAGCCTCCACTACTGTACCAGAGCACTGCATCCTATAAACAGAAAACATAGGCACATGAAGCGTGCAGAATGCTTAGATCAGGAAACCTGAGTCCCTTCTTTATGAAACATGCATCCAGACACAACTAGGGATTGAAGGAGGTCAAATTGACCTATGCAATTTGCAAGAATCACATCTTCATAAAAAAGTTCTTCATTCTTTAAGCCCTAATATCCACACACAAATTCTCCGTGCACACTGATCTCCATCTATTTTCTCAAAGATGTGTTTGAGAGAATTTGATAAAGGATCAAAGTATTTTCCCTTTGGGGATCATATTATTATTTTAGCCTTTTCTCTTGATCAAGTATTAATACAGTTAGGAGAAAATTTATGAGAACAATTTAGGTTTCCGGGAAACTGATCACCTACCCCTCGCCTGAGCCAACATTTTGCCCTAAGTAAGAAGTAAGTAATAATGTTGGCTAAGGGGAGGGGTAGGTGTGCAGTTTCCCAGAAACCTAAATTTATCCAATTTATGTTCATCACTCTTAGGACTTTATTACCTGTAGTCTAGATGTAAATCCCCCACACAGCAAACAGGAAGGAAGTGAAAATTCAGGCCACATTTCTTCAGGAAGAGTATCTACCAGGTAACGATCAGAATCATTGTAGATTGATAAAAATTCTCTCAGTGCAATGTTATCAGCAGGCCGAGCTCTGTTCTCCTTTTTACCATAATCTACTCTCACAATAACATCTCCATACTTTTCCCTAACAAGTTGCAAAAAAAATTACTCATGTTTTTGGTCAACTATAAATGATTCATAAGTTCTACATGACTGTTACCTTGTNGTAACGATCAGAATCATTGTAGATTGATAAAAATTCTCTCAGTGCAATGTTATCAGCAGGCCGAGCTCTGTTCTCCTTTTTACCATAATCTACTCTCACAATAACATCTCCATACTTTTCCCTAACAAGTTGCAAAAAAAATTACTCATGTTTTTGGTCAACTATAAATGATTCATAAGTTCTACATGACTGTTACCTTGTGAGGGTATCAAGAACATCTGTCAGAGTCATTCTTAGGTCTTGTGTGAATTTTAGTTGCAAGCCAGGTGTTGAAGTTTGTCGTAATGGATATAGGGTTTATCTACATATCTTTGAAGCTAGATATCTCTGATGCTAAATGCAAAATATTGTTATTAGTATGCTGCGTCTTAGATACGGATTCTTTTAACTCACATTAGCATTAACAGGTGTTCATTAAAATTTTAGATTTCTTTTGTCCCTACATTTTTTCCAAAAAAAAGGTTCATTTGCAAATATAACATGAAAACATAAATAGAACTAACTAATAGCATCAATCTCATCAAACCAAAAGTTAATGTTGAGCCACTTTTGAGTAAAACAACTCATGAAAACGTGTATTTCAAAATATTGTGACTTCATTTTTTGAATGAATATCGAATGAATATGTTGGTTTAGTCTCAGACATCAAGGTCAAAAAAGTGAAAACATACTGCTCAGTTATTGAAAGAAAACTTATACGCATAATAGAAAGAAGGCAAACGAATATTATTCTTCCTGAAAAGAGTGTCTTCCCTCTTAATTATCCACCTGAGATGAGAGGCAGGAAAAGTGTATTATCCACTTTATTTTAATTTTTTATTTTCAATTTTTAGACACATATTATGCAAATAATACTAAAAAAAAAGGGGCCGATCATTGGTAATTCTGCTTCGGATGGTTTTGCGGGTTAATATTTATAACAAGTTCCCTAAGATTGAAAATTTAAAGTAATATTAAAGGCTCGTCGTGGGTATAAAAACTAAATCCGGGGCTTACCTCAAATAACTATCACTCCAAAGCTGAAATCCCGGAGATAGTTTGGCAGCTCCTTTAAATATAACCGGCTGTCCTTTCAAAACATATTCATTNACTTTTGAGTAAAACAACTCATGAAAACGTGTATTTCAAAATATTGTGACTTCATTTTTTGAATGAATATCGAATGAATATGTTGGTTTAGTCTCAGACATCAAGGTCAAAAAAGTGAAAACATACTGCTCAGTTATTGAAAGAAAACTTATACGCATAATAGAAAGAAGGCAAACGAATATTATTCTTCCTGAAAAGAGTGTCTTCCCTCTTAATTATCCACCTGAGATGAGAGGCAGGAAAAGTGTATTATCCACTTTATTTTAATTTTTTATTTTCAATTTTTAGACACATATTATGCAAATAATACTAAAAAAAAAGGGGCCGATCATTGGTAATTCTGCTTCGGATGGTTTTGCGGGTTAATATTTATAACAAGTTCCCTAAGATTGAAAATTTAAAGTAATATTAAAGGCTCGTCGTGGGTATAAAAACTAAATCCGGGGCTTACCTCAAATAACTATCACTCCAAAGCTGAAATCCCGGAGATAGTTTGGCAGCTCCTTTAAATATAACCGGCTGTCCTTTCAAAACATATTCATTGTAAAACTCTTGAGAAGTCGGTACATGTTCTACTGACTTGATAGCGCCTTCTGGCGGTCTGTGTGATCCCAGAGGTTGCAGATGACCAGTTGGGATAAATTCTTGCTTAGAGAAAACAAAAAGTTGACACAGGAGGAGAAATCTAAACATACCGCTTGCAGCTTTGTTTAAAAGTGTATCGTACACGTATCGACTTTGATAATTCAGACATTTCACGTCTTTTGTCATGTTTCCATGCTGATGAACTGCAAAATCTGCCAGGCGTTCATCTCGTAGTCCCAGTGTCCACTCGGCTTTGTTTGACGGACGAAATTGAGTCTGGGGATGAGAGGCAAAATGGTGGATGAGCCACAAGAAGATCACGTAGAATGTAACTCCAAAATGACCAACATATGACGGTGAATATTCAAAATTTTTGATTTTGTAATATTTCTATGGATTATTTTCATCAAGAGGCTTAATAATCGTGAAAGACTTTTTGAAGAAAGTGCATAATATGTCGGCCTGATGTCGGACGAAGATTCCAGTGACGACGAACTTTGCAAAAAGGACTTGGAAGAAAGGCTGGCAAACCAGCCGACGCCAGATGTCGTGGATTTCCTTCCCGCTTTCAAGGTCCCAAATGACGATGATCATGAGACTGATGGGAGAAGCGGTTTGCCAAAAATTAAGGAGGAGATTTCCGATCAAGAACTTACAGCGACACCGGAAGCCATGCTTTCAGCGTGTGAAAATGGAATAGTGGATCATGTACTACAAATATTAGAAAAAGAACCCGCACTTCTTAACTGTAGAGATGAAGATGGCTATTCGCCGCTTCACAGAGCTTGTTATAATGGACATACAGACGTGGTGAAAGTTCTTTTACCAAGAGGAGCGGATTTGCAAGCTAAAACCGAGGATGGATGGCAGCCTTTGCATTGCGCTTGCAGATGGGGTGAATAGGCCTTGTTAGTTTAGTTTCACTTTTTACCCACTTCAGACCAAAGGACAATCTTAAACACCATTCTTGTGGTGAATAGGGTTAACTTTGAAATTAACAGAGACGCATCATGTTACATTGTCTGAAATGGGTAGATAAACAGTATACCTATGGCATTTTTTGGCTCAGCCGTGGCCAACTTAGTAGCAGTAGTAAGCCATTTTTAGTTAACATGTCAATGCAATTTACCCTCCAATTATCCCCATAGCTACTAGCAGCATACAGGAAAGTCACCATGTCATAACCCGCCAACCAACTGCTCCCCCCACCCCGACCACCCCCTCTGACCTGAAAGGGGCAGTTTGTAGGTGCATAAATATTTGTGTAAGTGAAAGGTTCTTGTGACGGAGACTGGGACATTGCAAAGACTGAAGAGGGGAGGGTGGAGTTCTGCCTGTCTGTGGGATACACCACTCAAGTGAGATGTGAGACCTCTCAGTACATTTACACTAGTCTCTCTACCTCTACTTAACCCTTCTTATAAGTTCTTTGTTGAAGCCACCAAGCTATTATGCTGTTTTCTTATACAAGGAGCTTGGCACCCAACAATTATGAACAGGCATCCCAGGAGGAGAAGGTACTGGTAACTTTTCTCTTAGTTGCCTCATACTACAGGTACCAGGCTTAGAACTCAGGTAAAAAAAAAAAAACCCTGTGGCTTGATTGCACCAATTCCTCTTTCAGGGAGAGTGTAGTCAATTTGGGAGCAGAGTGTAGGAGGGTACGTGGCCACCTTTTGGAACCATTAGTGTTCTACAACTAATTAAGAGATAATTTTGAATCAGTCTCTGCTTCAACTCATTATTAATTTATTAATCTTGACAGGCAAGACAGATGTTGCATCATTGCTATTACAGAATGGTGCTGACATTAATGCACAGACCAATGGAAAACAGACTGCGCTTCATTTTGCTGCCAGTGGAGTTGGCGGAACCACAACTTTGCAGTTGCTGCTGTGCAACAGGTGGTTGGATGCAAGTCTTCTTAACATGCAGAATGAAACAGCATATGATATTGCTAAACGGAGTGGAAAGCACCATGAACTGTTTGAAATAGTTGAAGATTGTATGAATGTTAAATAAAGATTAAAATATTTTCTTTTCTTTTTGTTACCTGCCTTTGTTAACAACATTGACTAGGTGTGTTTTTCAACCCAACAAGTATTTTAGCAAAGTTCTACAAGCCATATACGTAACATGACTATTTGGTCAAGGTGGCTGGATATTGGCCAAGTTCCTTTTTTGCCTTTTTATGGGCTAAGACAACCCTAACAAATTAAGGCCAATAAGTCTAGCCATCCTGACCACACAATTTAATGGTACAAAGACTGATCTGGGGTGATCTTGAAGAGTCAGTTAAAAGAGGGGATTTTCTTTTAATTTTGCCCACATATGATAATATTATTGAGCTTAATTTTTCACATCTTTTTTCATTTCAAACCTCTCGACCATGTCCTTCCCCGTCCTTCCCCATCTCCCTATCCAAAAAAATTTTGCGAGGGTAAGTCCTGGGTGTCCTGTGCCGCACGCTTTAAGGTGTCATACACAGAATACCTCGTTGATAAGTTGTTCGTAGGCTCAAACTCCTCTTCAATATGGCGGCAAATGTTCGTTCTTTGATCATTGACTTATTTGAAAGCCCCGATGGAACACTTTATGCGATTCTTATTGCCACGGTTATTGTTGTTCTGACTACAGGTTTGTGTATTAAATATTCATAGTTTTTTGCCGACTATTTGTAGTAGGGAACTGTATACTTTGTTACGACATTTTCTACGACTTACTTCCTTTGGTTCTTTTTTTTTAAATTGATGACGTGTTTGGCTGGCCATTAATTTAAAGCACAGAAAAATAATCTGTTTGGAAATTATCGTAAATCTCTAGCAATGGGGGATTATTTGAGACGTGCAGCTTATTTAATTTAACATAGACAATGGTATTAGTTCTTCATAAGGAACTAGAATACAAAGTGGAAAAGCTTAAAGGTCATGCAGCCGAGGTTCAAAAACAATTCTGAACTTCCAGTTGGTAAATAAACCATCCTGGATCAGCCCACACAAAGGTTTACAGTCGTGATTGATTAATACCGTCTATCGTTTATTAGTGAAGAGTAATATAAGGGGGAGGGGGGGGGGGGCTGAAAAGAAAGGGGGGTTTATTAAATTTTTTCCCGTGAAAAGGGGGGGGGGGCTATTAAAGAGGGGGTGCTTAACAGAGGATTTACAGTAAATAAGTTAATTTTTGTTTTTTTGTTTTTTATTGAAAGCATTTGCAGGTTTGTG